AGCCTCAGCTTCACGATCTGTCCTTCCAGTGAGCACTCAGGGCTGATTTCCTTCAGAATGGCTCCCCTTTATCACATACACAGCCCAACAAGACAATGACAATAATCCACCAACAGCATACAAATCAATATGGCTAACTTGATCCAAAACACCCACCCACCCCACTCACACACGAAAAAAAGATCACAACAGCCAATCACAAACAAACAACCACACCCTAGGCCAACCCCAACCTCTCTCACCACCAAAGAAATACAAATGAACAGCAGAGAACCTGCACGAGCAACGCTGACACCAAACCCTACATACATTAAGCAAACTAGAAACATCACCACCCGACCACAGCCCCGCCCATCTTCCCCCCCCTTTCCCCCAATGCCTCAACAAATGAAACTGTTTTGTAAAAATGTTACATTGAAAAAATGCGAGAGACATTACACATACTTCCGTAAAACAAGAAATTTTTAAATAAAGAAATAAAAAAAGAATGGATAGGTTTGATCTTCTTGCAGTCCATGGGACTCTCAAGAGTCTCCTCCAGCACCATAATTCAAAAGCATCAATTCTTCAGCGATCAGCCTTCTTTATGGTCCAGCTCACACTTCCATACATCACTGCTGGGAAAACCATAGCTTTTACAATACGGACCTTTGTTAGCAAGGTGATGTCTCTGCTTTTTAAGATGCTGTCTAGGTTTGTCATTGCTTTTCTCCCAAGAAGCAGGCGTCTTTTAATTTTGTGGCTGCTGTCTCCATCTGCAGTGATCATGGAGTCCAAGAAAGTAAAATCTCTTACTGCCTCCATTTCTAAATCTGATTCTGTTAGCATGAATTGGAAGTACATATATGTTGAACTAGGAAAACAATAATACGTGTATTGGACAAATTTTTGCAAATATTGGTTTGTTGCTGATATCTGTAGAATTAATTGTTGCCATCTCTGGAAAATTAGATTCCGATTGCTCCATTCCCATTGCTGAGGATTTTTACTCAGAAAAGCTCTTTCCCCTTTCAGTCAGCACACAAGGATTCTTCAGATTGCGGAGAACACATATGTGTTCTATGGTACATCCTGTAGGCTACTCATTGCCCATCTGAGGAAATTGTGCCCTGTACAGAGAACCAACTATAGTAATCAATCTGTTCATGCATAGATGTTTATTGGGGAAAAGAGTAAGATGTATTTGAACTATATGCCTTAAAGCAAAATGATCAGATCACATAAAACTAATATAATACCAGTGATTTGGGATGACTTGTCCCATCTCAAATCTGGCTGTCTTGTAAAATGCACAGCATTCCTTTAAGAGAGCTTTGAAATGCATGAGGCATGAGTGGTGCATATTTGGCTTCGAGGTACAGCAATAAAGTCAGCGGTGTGACAACCAAGTAATGTGACCTTCCAAAAAATATGTCCAAGATTGTGCAAGGTCTATTTCTGTCAAGGATTGGCGAGGAAGATAAAGCAATACACGAGCAGCTTTTTGTGGATAGTTTGCAAGAAGCAACACACATATAGCTGCCAAATCCCTTGTCATTAGAGGATGAAAGTATGCTACCTAGCTCTATGGAGAAGTATGTGCTTTGCATACAGAAGGTCACATGTTCAAATCTCCAGCATCACTATTTCAAAAGATATTTTGTGGGAGGGCTGGGGCAGAACTTGATCAGCCGGTGCTGTCAGTCAGAGTTGATGTTTCAGACAGAGTTTAGCAGCTTCACATATGTTTGAAAGGGGGGGTGGGATAGAAAACTGAGATCAGAGGAGCAGAGGTGTAGAGGTGTAGAGGACTCCCTGGTCCTGAATGGGGTAACTGTGCCCCTGAAGAACCAGGTGCACAGCCTGGGAGTCATTTTGGACTCACAACTGTCTATGGAAGCGCAGGTCAATTCTGTGTCCAGGGCAGTTGTTTACCAGCTCCATCTGGTACGCAGGCTGAGACCCTATCTGCCTGTGGACTGCCTCGCCAGAGTGGTGCATGCTCTGGTTATCTCTTGCCTGGACTACTGCAATGTGCTCTACGTGGGGCTACCTTTGAAGGTGACCCAGAGTGGCTGGGGAAGCCCAGCCAGATGGGCAGGGTATAAATAATAAATTATTATTATTACAACTAATCCAGAATGCAGCAGCTAGACTGGTGACTGGGAGTGGCCACCGAGACCACATAACACTGGTCTTGAAAGACATACATTGGCTCCCAGTACGTTTCTGAGCACAATTCAAAGTGTTGGTGCTGACCTTTAAAGCCCTAAACAGCCTCATTCCAGTATATCTGAAGGAGTGTCTCCACCCCCCATCGTTCCGCCCGGACACTGAGGTCCAGCGCCGAGGGCCTTCTGGCGGTTCCCTCACTGCAAGAAGCCAAATTACAGGGAACCAGGCAGAGGGCCTTCTCGGTAGAGGCACCCACCCTGTGGAACGCCCTCCCACCAGATGTCAAAGAGAACAACAGCTACCAGACTTTTAGAAGACATCTGAAGGCAGCCCTGTTTAGGGAAGCTTTTAATGTTTGATGCATTGCTGTATTTTAATATTTTGTTGGAAGCCGCCCAGAGTGGCTGGGGAAGCCCAGCCAGATGGGCAGGGTATAAATAATATGTTGTTGTTGTTGGTTCGCTGCTACTTCAGCAATGGCAGCAGCTTTCTGTTATTTTTCCGCACAATCCTGATGTTGTCACCTGCCAACACACATACTAACCCAACATCCACATAGCAGTAGCTGCCATGCTCCCCTAAGGTGAGTAGTGTTGTCCTGAAAGATCTCCTGGGAGCAATCTGGAGCAGTTGGAGTATGCAAAGTGACTCTTGGTATACGGATAAATGTGGTACAACGAGCATCTCCCTATTTCTATCTGGAAAATATGTGGAAGGCATACTTCTGCCTACCTAGACTTCTGCTGTCTTCTTTATGAAGTCCATTTCTTTCCTACTCCTTCTTCCCTAGATCATATTGGCTGCCCTCTGTGATGGTAGAGAAGCTTGGCCAATATCTGCTGGAGTGTCACCATCACTACTGCAACCAAATCCTTTAGCACATATGTTGGAGTGCATTGGCAGATAAGAAACTGAATGCAGCTAAATCTATTGCTGCTTCTTGCTGCTTCCTAAATCCAAATGTCAACCAGAAAGACAGAGAGCAAACTTTACCTTCAGCAATGTGAGACTCCCGAGAGGGGAATTCATAATTAGGCTCCGTTTTCTTCTTCTTCTTAACAATGTCTGCAAAGAGATTCATTCACAGCTTGCATTGTATACAGATGGCAAGTACAGAACAAGCTTCAAGTGTCTTAACAGCATTAAGATATACAAAGCTAATAGGGCAGTGTAGTGCAAGGCAGAGATGCAACAGTGCCGGCACCTTTGTGAACAGAAGGGCAAATTAAGGGAGGGAAACACAAAAGCTGGCCACAGTTTCTTCACCAGAGTTACACATTGATGGTAACAAAAGTGATAAGGAGAAATAGGGAGGTGGGATGTAAACTAGCAGCAAGATTCCATAAATTGTATAAATATTGGATAAGTTGTTTGCATATTCAAAGCAGAATCTTATTTCTAGATATACACACAACAAATATGTATTACACAGCAATTGCAACAATAAATATTCAACCTGCTTCCCCATCTCTATATTACCTTGTAATACTGTGGGTATCCTCATCGGTGAACATCCCCTGTGGGTGTTTTCTGTTGCATATTGATAGTCAGTTTGGGTGCCACTGTGTATTAGGCTACATATAAGACCACATATTAGACCTGTGGAGGACTGCTCAGTGCATGCTGCTTGCTTTGAGATAAATAAGGATTGTAATAGATGACCTCCTAAATAAATAACTGTGACGTGCACAGGATGCCTTCATTATGTCAGTAGGCTCAGTGTTGTCGTGACTTAACAAGAAATTAATGTAAGATCTTCTTGAATTCACCTTTCTCACCATAACCAGGTATGATAGAGTTGTAGTCCACCTGGAGGCTAATAGGTTCCCCATCCCTGCTCTAATACGCAAGGAGCCATGACACATTCATGGAAACACAGGAACAGCCAGCACTTTCTCCATTGATTCTTATACAGAATTATACAGGCTGGAGGCAGAGGAAGCTTTGCTAAACTGATTTCTTCTGTCTCAGTGAGCTTCTGTCTCAGTGAGCTGCCTCTGTGTTGCAATTATCCTGCCGTCTTCCAATCTCATAAGGAGATTGTCATACTCAAGGGCATTTCTTCACTGTACTTTCCTTTCAAAAGCACTGTCCATCTTCCCCCCTGTAATTCCTCTTGATTCTTCAAGAGATACTTCAGAGTAGATGAAACCGCAAAGCTTTCCACTGGGGGGGGGGGAATCAGTACTAGAGCTTATGTGCATCAAATATCATTGAAGAAGAAATAAATTTAGTATGTGCTTCTCATCAACTTCCAGTGCTATGGTGCATTGAAAAACCTTACTGGCCATAATTCCAAGCTCTGGTATTTTAACTTTGCTTGGTATATCTTTCCCCCTTCCATATGCACAGGACTGAACTCATCTGTATATATCAGGGATGAGGAACATGCCTTCCAGATGTTGCTGGACTCCAGGACTCCGCAACAGCTCCAGTGGTCAGGGATGCTAGAAGTTTCAGTCCTACAACATCTTGGGGGCCAGAGGTTCCTCATCTTTGGCACATATTCATCTTTCCTCTCTACTTCAAGTGCATACATCTGAATATGTTAAGTTTTTGTTTACAGCAGCTGATGCCTCAACACATTTTTAGCTAGAAAGTTCTTGCATGAAAATGAAGTATTTAAGCGTCAGTAGTTCTTCTGTATCAGTGCTGGGCTTAAGGAATTTTGCCTTTCTTATTCTTAGCATGCAGATAGAGGTGCCATTTAGAAAGGTAGCCTTTCCTCCCCTTCCCCATCCTGTCACTGTGTCATAGTCTTAGGTCTGTGGGTGGTTATTTCCCAGGAGCGCCCCAATCTCTAGGCAGTTCCACAAAGTGCATAATGATAGTAAGGATTTAAATGGGCCAACAAACTAGCTCAGTTGGTCAGAACATGGTGCTGATGATGTCAAGGTTGCAGGTTCGATCCCCATATGTGGAAGCTGCATTTTCCTGCACTACAGGGGGTTGGACTAGATGATCCTCAGGATCCCTTCCAACTCTGTTGTTCATTGATTTGACACACAAAGAATCCTAAATGCAGGTAGGTAGCTGTGTTGGTCTGCCATAGTCAAAACAAAATAAAAAATACCTTCCAGTAGCACCTCAGAGACCAATTAAGTTTGTTATTGGTATGAGCTTTTGTGTGCATGCACACTTCTTCAGATACCATGGACTTCCATTTCATGCGGCTCAGTGTGATGCCTTCCATCGTTCTAGTCCTAAATGCAGGTAGGTAGTTGTGTTGGTCTGCCATAGTCGAAACAAAATAAAAAATTTCCTTCCAGTAGCACCTTAGAAACCAAAGCTCATACCAATAACAAACTTAGTTGGTCTCTAAGGTGCTACTGGAAGGAATCCTAAATGCATTAATCATTTTGCCCACAAAGAAAACTGTGCACTTTGCACTTAAGCACTGTGTTAAGAAGACTAATGTAGTTATTGTTCAATTGTTGTTTTAAAACTATTTTATTGTAATAGTTTTAGAGCAGGGCTTTCGTAGCATTATATCAGAATCTGGACAAACTATGGTTAATAATAATAATAAATTTTATTTATATCCCACCCTCCCCAGCCGAAGCCGGGCTCAGGGCGGCTAACAACAATAAAACAGTACAAAAGTACAGCACAAACAACACTCTAAAATCATTCATTATAAAATTAAGTTACTCTTACCTATGGTTGAAGGAAGCCAACTTCAAACTACGGTTTATATGAAGCTAGCTTGTATCAATAGAATCTGGTTTAAACTAGTCATAGTTTAGCACTATGTACAAACCCTAAGCTAATGTGAACTGAAGATTGCAGCAAAACATTCTGAGCTCCCACTTAGAGCTGCACCAGAGGTGGAGAGAGTAGGTGTGAGTGCAAGAATCTGAAGCTCACTCACAATCCATTAAGGTTAGATCATAGTTTATCATTATCTCAGAATGAGGCCATAGAGTAACTTGGCCTATGGGCACCTTTCTGAATTGCACCCGCTCTACCTTTGTGCCAACATCTTTGGATATAGATTGTTGTGAGAAGGGCCAGTGGTTAGATGATCTGGGCTTGCAGCAGAATGTCGGACTCTGTGGTGTTTTCTTCCTCCAGTCCAATCTTTGAATGTATCTATTTTTCTAGGTGTATTTTTGAGTGTATTACATTTCTTCGTTGGATAATAATGTAAAAGTGAAACATTCTCCAAGCCATCCCAGAGGCCTCTTTAGGTTCTATTGTGTCACAGTTCTTCACTCTAAAAATTAATGAAGTTCGGGCACAAAGAGACTTTTCATGAAACAGCACCTGCAGGTCTGCCACCTCGTCATAATTTAAGCAAATGTGAAGTAGGATTTAAAGAGACTGCAGGAAGTATATTTTCTCCTTCAGCGCTTTGAGAAGGGATGTAAGTGGACTTTAACTCTTCTATTACTGACATCAAAGTCAAATAACCAACCCACTCCACTAATATATCTACTAATTAATAGAACCATAATTTAGTAGAATGTGCTCCAGTTTGAGATATATAAATCATGGGCTAACTACTCAAAGGAAAATCTCAACGTCACAACTTGTTTACTCAGTGAATTTCGTCCTTCATGATGTGTGCCTTGCTCACATAGGGTGTGTGTGTGAGGAGGGGGAGAGACATTTGCAACTTTTTTGTTTTCAGAATTTTTGCTGAAGAATAAGTGCTATTCACGGGTGGAATAACACAACTGTCACATCTAACACTTATTCCTTCAAATTTGCATTTGGTCTTATCTATATTCCTTTTAAGTTTTATACTTTAGAACATAGATAGCATTTGTAACTAAAAAAGTGTTAATCTAATAAAAACAAGGGAGGAAAAACAAGATGAAATACAAGAAAAGACAGGGGCGAGCATTTTATGTCAGTATCATATATATTCATAAATATATCCTTGATGGTCCCCACCACCACTACCACCATAATATGGAAAGATGTAAAGCTGCCATTGAACAGCTCTCATTGGACAATTTGTTATACTGCACCACAATCCTGAATTTGCATGAAGTCAGGGTGGAATAAGGGAGCAAAAGAGAAGGCAGACTGCACAACACTAGTGGTCATGGTATGGGAGTGAGGAGGGAGAACCATAGAGGGGAAAGTGCTGGTTTAAAACAATGGCAGAAGTTTAATTAAAACAGGTGGAGGAAATTGAAAAGAAAGTGGCAGCTTTAAACATCAATAGACGTTTGACTAAAGCAGGGATTGGGGAAATTGAGCAGAAATAAGTGGCAATTTTAAACAATGACAGAGGTTTGAGCAGAGTGAACAGGGGAAGACACTGAGTGGGAAGAGGCTTGAGAACAGCAATATGAAAGTTATGAAAGGCTCTGCTACATGAGCTTTTTGGTTTTAGCTTCTGTGTTGAACCCATTTCTGCTATTTTTCCTTGCTGAAACTGGTTTTTTGTGTGTGTTTTGTTGGGCTATCTGCCTTCTACCCTACTAGTTTCAACAAACACCAGCTGCCGCTGGCCACAGCTTTTCCTATATGTTTTTCCCCATGCAGGATAGCCTCTTTTCTCTCCCTTGTTGGGCAAAACTATAGTCCTCTTTACTTCAGCAGGTGGAAGTGAAGTACCAGGCTTTGGAGAGAAAGTTCTGGGTTGTACCCGCTTCAAACCTATTTTGACATCTTCATAGTGACAGGAAGAGTATGTGACTGTACTTTTTCAGGAAGCAATTCCTTTGTGATTTGAAATGTGAGAATTTCTCTTAGACTGCAAACAATCCATGCCCACTCCCCAGGGGGCAAGCCCAACTGAAGTCAGTGGGAATTACTTCTTAGTAACCTGTATAGGTTATTATACAACGATTGTGCTATCGCTGACAGAGAGCTTCCTTAACTATTTATTCTTGAGAAAGAGCCATATGAACAAAATACATTAAAATCTACACAATTGTAAATGTTGTAAAATGACTTTATTTTTATTTTTAAGTGAACATAAAACATTT